GGACTCTCCATAGGCGTAATGGTTTTTATACTGTACAGACCGTATATTCTATTGCCCTACACCAACCCTACCCCTAAACCTACCCCTCACAGGAAACTTTCTGCATTTTTAGATTTTCAAAAAACCTCATTCTGAATTATTTATAAGCCTTCTGAATTACGGGGACACTGAAAATGTCCTCATAAATCACCTTCTCGTTGTAATACCTGTCATACCCATGTTATTATACAAATTTGTGTCCTCATAAACCACATAAACATGCACACACTCACACACAAACACACACAGACACACTCTCTCTCTCACACACACACACACACACACACACACACACTCTCTCACACACACAATGAAACTGGGGCAGCGAGGAAACAATGGCTTAACAATGGGAACAATCTCACCGGCGAGCATTTCACACACACAGAAGAAACCACAGTTTATGCCCCGGTAACTTCATACAGCACCTGAAAGTGCTTTCATACGTTTTCACGGTGATAGAAAGTGATTTACAGCCGACAGCATCTTATTACAGATCACAGATCATCATGTGTGACAGCAAATATAACAGGACTGACTCACCTGAGGACAGGATCATGTTCCCAGACCTCTGAACTTCATCAAACCTGCTGAAAATCACATTCAACCTGAACAAAACACAGCAGAATCTGCATTAGAGCTCTTAGCATCAGTCACAGCATAAAAGAGCAGATTTACAACACAAACACACACTAAAGCTGTCAGTATTTTATCTGTCAAATGTGCAACATTGATACACAATATTAAAACGATTAAATGTTTTGTGCACTGTAAATAAGTCAAACCAAAACAATTGAGAAAATGTTAATTAAATAATGATTTGATTTTTATATCTAACTACTAAAATAATCACAAAAATTGACATGATATCTGAATTTAAAAAGTTAAAATTAAATTATAATTAACATCAAAATAATTGAAGAAAAAATACATTTTAATAAATTACATTAAAATGTTTTGTAAAATGTGGATGCACTGTAGCAAAAAAATTATAAAGTATAAAAAATATACAATATTAAACTGTGAAGTGGTTTGTGCACAGTAAACGATAAGTATAAAGAAAATATTTTAAAAATATAAATATAAAGAAAATATAGTTATAATCATGCATTTAAAATTACATTACATTTTAAAAGTTAAAATTAAAACCCTCGAAAAAATATTCCTCAATTTTTAATAAATGACATTTTGCAAAATGTAGGTGGCACTGTAGCAAAAAAAAAGTACAAAAGAAATGATAAAGCATAAAAAGTATATAATGTTAAAACTGTGAAGTGGTTTGTGCACTATAAATAATTAAAACCAAAATTATTTTTATAATAACTCATTAATTAATTAACTAAAAATGACAAAAGCACATAACAAAATTACTAAAACAACTAAATTATAATTGTTTTAGTAAT